CCCCTCCCTCTGTGGCCCGCCGCCATCCCCCGACAGAATAGCGCAAAAGCTCCCGCCAATTCCTTACCTGGGTAAGAAGACCCAGCTGCTTACCAACGGCTGGGAAGCCCCTCCGCGCGAATTGCGCCCCTCTCCGCAGTCGCTCTCCGCTAGGGCTACCGCCGGTGAAATCGAAGCTGCTACTACTGCCGGTAACGAAACATCCTCGTTCCCCCCAGCCCCCCCAAAGCAATCCCGGGAAGGGCGCTAATTGCTTTGATCCGAGCGGCCTCCCATTTTCCAGGGCTCCCGGCGCTTCCTCGGCTCCCTTCCTCCGCCTTGGAGCTTCCCTGGCACCCGCTAGCCTTTCCCTCGTACTCTCCACATGGCTATTCCTGGACTGGCAGAAGAGGGGCTGCCGCGCGGCGCGGCGCCGACAGAGGCCGCTGCGCGCGGAGCAAAAATAGTTCGGATTAATTGCTTGCCCCCTATTTTTACGTACGCAAAGCTGCTTAGCCAAGCGCTCCGAGGGGCCATTGTTCCGAGGACGGAGGACTCCGAAGGCGGAGGGGAGTCCGTGAGCGCTTAGACGGCGATTCTTCTGTTAGGGAAGACCCGGGTTGACAGGACTGGGCTGCGATTTTTGGAAATCCGGAGAATCTGGACTGCTCTGGGCGGACTAGAGAAATACTGTACTCTAGGAAATTAGAACGCTTGTCCTTTCCCGTTGGTTTTACATCGTTTTCTTACGTCCTCACAAGGTTTAGGCCGTTCACTCTTTTGGGGGGAGGCATCGTAAGTATGTGCTGTCACAGGGATAATGAGTAGCCCCAGCAGATTGTTGATCAGATTGGTGGATTGTCTTGGCCAGAAGGGATGGCTAGCGAATGAATGGCAGAGTAGCACTCCCAAGCAGTTGAGGGAGATGCAAGTGGTGCATGTTTACTAAGTTGGAATTCCCTCTAAATTACTTCTAAGTCAATAGGTAGGTTTAGTTCTAACTAAATATTTGTAGCGGCATTCTGTAGTTTCAGTTGCAGTTAAACCAGAATTCTGCATGTAAATGTCCAAATTGAAACAAGTCCAGACACTTTTTCTCATGAAGCGCAGTAGAGAGAGTTCTTTGTAATCCTTACAAGAAGGATTGTAAGCCATTGACCCTACCCCCCCCCCACCTCTGCCCTGCCCCACCTCCCCTTTAGCCTGGGAGTTCTTGTGCAACACTTCCATTGAGACCACACTGATTCTGTCAATAAGAAAAATCTTGAGTTTGTGGGAATCCTATCGTCTCTTGACAAATCTCAGTTTGCAATGTATTTTGCAGTGCACCTGCGGGACAGCAAAGTCTCTTTCGTAAAAATATCCTTGCATTGTCTAATAACCAGACCTGTTTTCAAAGGATGGGATGGGTGTAGGTGAATGTATTTCCTGCTATGATCAAATCCCATGATCACTCAGCATTAGAAGGCAAAGTAAGCTGGTTTGGCAGACTTCCTGGAGAAAGCAACAGTAGCATATATATTCCTGGCATAGTTCTTTTTTGGGCCATTTTCGCATCTCCCAACTGTTCATCTTTGTGTAATAATCTTGTGTAACTCTCGATTCATAGGAGATATGGGAACTCTTCATGACATATTTTCAGTTCCCCATATTTTTTTTTCTGTTCTGGTTTCTTCTGCCAGCAAATTACACCTTGGTTTGCACATTTTGTTATGTTGCAATGTAATCACATTGCATGCTGGCTGAAGTCAGCCACTGCAGGGTAATATGCTTTGTGACATGTTACTCGGCAATAGCTAAGTTACTCCTCCTGGGTTTGACCTCCTTATTTACTTACAACATCTCTTACTGCTTCTGTGTTACATGTCTATGAAACTCTAGAAATACATGTAAACAGGCCAACATCTGAACTGGCTCCATTGCATGAAAAAGCTGTTTTTCCCGGGAACTGTAGCTTAGTGACAGAACACTCCCATGTTCAATCAACAATTGGGGTAACTAACATACTGTAAAGTAGCTTCCTGTTTGAAGATAGGAGGTGCTCTGAATTGTTGCAGCTGGAAGAAGGGAGAGCCCTTTCACCATCTCAACTGGCATGGAAGGGAGAGCATGGCACCATCTCAACTGGTATGGAAGAAGCCACTTGTTTGAAAAAAAAATGGCCCATTGTGTCTCAAGATCCAGTAGTCTGATGATTGAGTAACTTTTTGTCTGATCAACTAAGACAGTGTTGTCCAAACTTGGCCACTTTAAGATGAGTGGGCTTCAACTCCCAATTCTGGGAGTTGAAGTCCACTCATCTTAAAGTGGCCAAGTTTGGACAACACTGAACTAAGAGTTTTGTTATGAGAGGGGACAAACCCCCATTCATGGTAGTAGCATGCATAACTTCAAGCTGGAATTATTTTTGAAAAAAGTGCTGACAGTTGTGCTGAAAGTCTATGTTCTGGAAGGAACCCCAAATGCTCATTCTTCATTAAGGCTCTAGCCCTCTGTATACATTCATCTGGAAGCCACTCTCACTGAACTACTTGTGTTGGGAAACAGATTCTAGAGAATGCTTATTGAGTCACCTTAATGACAAATTGGCCCGTGAAATATGCCTCATCTCTATCTTACGAATTCTACAAGAACTTACCCATTATATCTGTCACCATGTATGGTGACTTAACAGGCATACATACGTTGGTCAATTCAAAAAAATATTAAAAATAATTTGCTGTCAGGTACATTCTATGACCATTTCTTCATAATGGTCTTCCTTAAGATAGGAATATTCATCTCTTACAGTCAAACTGGCCATTGGCTCCAAGGAGATTTGAGTGAGGGATTAATGTTAAACCTTCTACCCTATTTCCAAGATTCAGGCTGTGCTAATTTCTTTGTAACAGGTCCCAAAACATGAGCCTGCAGTAGCTGACTTCACTCAATATGCATCAACTTAATTTAGGTGTCTCTGTTTTCTTACTGTTTTGGTTTGCTGTCCTCCTGCTTATAGCTACGTTTGTCATAAGCTTTATTAGCTCACGTGTATGTATAAAGCTCACTAAGATTACTATTATATTATTTTAAAAAATTGAAAATCAAGGAATGCAAGAGTCTTTGATATAGGTGAACAATTGGAAATGTCTAAATGGAGGCTCAGGTGAGCAAATGCAGCTGTTTCAAACTAATAGCTAATCTCACTGTGTTACCACATTCAGAAGTGAAAATATTAAAGTCTATAAAATGAAAAATAAACCCTACACAGATATTCCAATTTCATATTCACGACATGCATTTAAATTATTCAAGTTGAGAGAAAAATAATACAGACTGATACATAGACATTTATTTTAAAA